TCCCGCGTTGGAGCATTCACAACTTCTGGAGGCAAATCGTTCCACTGATTAATTGTTCTGTCAGGAAATTTCTCCTTAGTTCTAAGTAGCTTCTCTCCTTGATTCGTTTCCACCCATTGCTTCTTGTCCTATCCTCAGATGCTTAATGTTTTCAGCAGTGTGGATATATTCTGAAAATTGCTAGGGAGGAGCAATAGCAATAGCACTTACACTATAAACTTATATAGTGCTTTTACAGCCCTTTGTAAGCGGCTTACAGAGTCAGCCTATTGCCCTCAACAATCTGGGTCCTCATTTTACTGCCCTCGGAAGGATGGAAGGCTGAGTTAACTTTGAACCAGTGAGAACTGAACTGCCAACAGCTGGCAGTCAGCAGAATTAGCCTGCAATATTACATTGTAAACACTGTGCCACCACGGCTCCTAGGAGTCTTCTTAATTCCCTTTCTCCAGACCAAACTCTCTTAAGTTTCCCTGTCTCTTTGCCCTCCTGGAATGCAGCCCCTCCCCCCTGGGAATCCAGACTACATTCCATCATAGTTACTGTGTTATCTATTACTTGGGTTGTAAATGGTCATTGCACTTCTAGTGGATGCAATTAAGTTGTATTTTGAACTTTCTTCCCAACTCTATGCCTACTAAATCTTTAATTGCAGCATTCATGCTGCTATTTTTCCCCCCAGTTGGAATAAAAATGGGAAAACCAGAATTAACTCCAGCAGAAAACCTAACTAACTTCTTGCAGAAACATCTATTTATAGGCAGTGAATTGTACTCTCGCTGGGAGCTACCGTTCCATTTTCTTCCTGCATAACCGCATCCAAACTGCCTTGTGCTGGCAGAGATTACAACGCCCTTCTTCCTTACTCTTAAACAATTTCAGGCATCCCTCATTCAAGTCGTCTCCAGCCTGAGCTGGATTTTTTGAAAGGACAAAGAACGGTCCTCAATTACCACTTTGGTAACCGCTGAGAACAGGCTGTAACACAGTCTGGTTTCCACTTGGAAATGTTTTATGATTTGCAGCAGCCAAAATGCCTGATAAGATGCTGAAAGCTGGGCTGGGCAGCAACTGGGTGGAACAGAGTCAACCCCAACCCCATTGAAAGGAGCCAAGAAGACTCTTCCAGAAGGAGGAGGAGGAGAAGGAGGAGGAGGAAGGCCATTGCCTTAGCTCAGACTGCTTGTCCATCTAGCCCAGAGGGGTCAAAGCAGAGGTGGGTTTCTACCAGGGGTGGGTTTCAACCGGTTCGCGGCGGTCCCCGCGAACCAGTTGGTCGGCGAACCCGGAAGTAAGTAACTTCCGGGAACGGCGAAGGGCCCTCCCGCCCGCCCACGTTCCTTACCCGGTTTT